CGGCTTTCTGCATGGTCAGACTGCAGAACTCTGTAGGGACTGTTCCTGATCTCCAATGTTTTGTTTTGTTGGGTTGCCGGTTCGATCCCCAGCTCTGTCTGTCTTGGTTGTTGTGTCCTTGGGCAAGACACTTCACCTTATTATCAATAAGCAAGTATCTTCTATTGATGATGGCCAGAGGGGTCAAAGGGGCCTCGCTTTTGTCAGTCTGCCCCAGGGATGCTGTGGCTACAACTGTAGCTTGCCTCCACCACTGTGTGAATGTGAGAGTGAATGAATAGTGGAATTGTAAAGCGCTTTAAGGGTCTCGAAAAGCACTATATAAATGTGCAGAAGTCACAGTGACACCTATGTCATAACTAAGTATCTTCTATTGATGATGGCCAGAGGGGTCGAAGGGGCCTCACTTTTGTCAGTCTGCCCCAGGGCAGCTGCGGCTACAACTGTAGTTTGCCTCCACCACTGTGTGAATGTGAGAGTGAATGAATAGTGGAATTGTAAAGCGCTTTAAGGGTCTCGAAAAGCACTATATAAATGCAATCCATTATTATTATTACTACAGACACAATAAAATAAGCCGCTTATTTCTGCGTATATCTACAATCTAATTTGTTCAGTCACAACACCTAGTTCATGATATCAGGTCATGGTTAAAACCTAGATCGAATGCTTAATGGTCTTGTAGAGTTGACGTTTTTCAAGAATTGCTACCTGCTGTGGTCAAAAAGAGCTAATCTTTGAGTTGATCCAGATCCATTTAAAATTAAAGCTGAAAGCAGTGTTAAGAGGGCCCTCGCACCCCAGTGCATCGAGTCATGCCCAACACCTACACCCAGCACGTCTGATGTCACATTGATGGAAGTTATGCATAATACCACGAGCTAAATTTCATCTCGTTCAATGATGATTATAGTCGTCCCACTAGGTGGCGCTCTAACCATTACTGACAAATGGCATATCAAAAATTTGCGAGCTTGACTCTTGACTCATGCCTGCCACGTTTAGGAAAGATTGGACATTGTGTTTTTGAGTGATAGCAGATTTCTGCTTTTTGGCAATTTATTGAAACTCCACGTTCCGCCATGACCACCTGGTTTCAGCAAACATAAAAAGCTTTGCAATTTAACGTCACAAAGGTCTTTAGATTCCATGCACCGGAGATCATGTCGATATGATGAATTCCCTAGGAGGAGTTTGTCAAAGTACGAGGCCACTTACATTTTAAAATGGCTGACTTCCTGTTGGATTTGGGATATTGCTCCAAGAGACTTTTTTGTACATTGTGATATCTTACGTAAGTTTACCAAGTTTCAGACTCATAAATGAAACATAGGGCAGGGGCTGGTTGTTTGAAATTTTGTAGGGGTGGCTGTGGAGCCATTTTGCAATATTCCATGAAAACAGTTGCATAACAAGAAAGCCTACCTCACATTGAGGTGTGTGCAAAGTTTGAGCTTTCCAAACCCCTCAAAAGCTACTTCCTGTTTCATAGTGAATCACCTTGCCACCAGGTTGCGCCGTTCAATTTAAACTCACAATTTTCATCATGAGGGACTGATGTTTATTCTCACTGCTTTTCAGGTTGATCTGATCAACCTGTCAGGAGAAGTATATCAAAGTGTAAGACATGATATTTCCCTTTCCCACTAGGTGGCACTCGTACTATTCCTGACAATGGGTATATCAATCTGTTCAGGACGGATATGTCATCATGTCTGTAAAGTTAGGTAGTGATTGACTACCAGACTGGGTTTCTTTGCGTTATAGCAGTTTCGTTCTTCACAGCGAAACATCAATGTTCAACATTCTGCTGGGATCACGCCCTTCTGCGAAAACTCAGTTTTCAATGTATTGCCAAGACCAACTCCTTAAAGCTTTCCTGGATAAATTTGAGGCTACGTGGGTCACCCACCTCGATACTGTACTCCAAAGAGTAAAACATGACATTTTCTGTTCCCACTAGGTGGCATTGTCACCGTTGTAAAATATATCAGTTGAAATGTGTTCAGGAGCAGAGCCTTATCATATGTCAGATGTTTGGTCCAGATCGGACGATTTATATGGGAAAGAGAGGAAATAACATTCTCATGGCGAATGATCAAAATACGCCGTGGCGCCACGGCCACACCCTAGAGTGAAAACTCAAAAGCTCCGCAATTTAATATGGCCCAGGTGTGTAGTTGAGACTGACCTAATATGAAGCTGATCCAATCAAATTCCTATGAGGAGTTTGCAAAAGTACAAGGCCTGGAAATGGCAAAATCAGAGCCAAAATGCCACCTTCAATCCAAAATGGCGGACTTCCTGTTGGGTTTGCGTCAATGGGCCCAGTGACTTTTTTGTTTCTCTCAGCATGATACACGTGTGGGCAAAATTTCATTCATGTAGTTCAAACTGTGTATTCATAGGACTTAATTTAACAACGTATAAGTGACACTCCAGAGCCATTTT